CCTTATGCTTTTTCGAATTTCTCTTGGTGTTTTTTTACAAAAGTCTGCACACCATTCAATCAAATTTTCATTGGATATATACGAATTGAAAGTACTCACAAGGTTTTCTGGTAAACAATCCCAGTTTTGACGGTAACGGTTAGCTTGTGATTCATCCCAAACATATCTAGGTTGAGGTGGTATTTCTGCCTGTGGAATGTCATCGTGTCAATTTCAAAGAGTAGGTCAATGGCATGTGCGAACTTTCAACTTGACTATAAAGTACTTCAAATTTAGTGATGAGGTTAAATGTGTTTTCAAGGCACAAAACGTAGTCCACTACACTATTGGCATCATTTACAAAACATGTGAAACGACCGATATTTTTATCTTTACCCAGTCTGCCGTTGCATAATCTTAGACCTGTTAGCTTGCTCATACCAATGAGGGAACGTCCACGCTTATTGATGCTCTTGTCTTGAGAAACTCGTGGAAGTTTGATATCCTCAATATTTCCCACATCTTCATCAATTGGTAAATATGTGGTATCGTTGTCAATAATGTAGTCACAAAAGGAGCCATCACCTGTCCGTGCATTTAAATCGCCCTGAACAATGATGTCACAGTCCTGATCTGCCGTTTTAAACTTAGCAACGTCAGCCCTTAGTATTTCAAATAATGATTCGTCTGCATGCTTACTCGATCCTTCAGGTGAATAATAAACAGTTGCATGGTAAACATTTCTATGATCTGGAATTTAATTTTTAACCAAATTATATTACAAGAGTCACTTTTAAGGAGAGTACAAAAGTTTACAATAGATTTCTTTTTGTAAACTTGGATTCCACCAGAGTTTCTATAGCACCGTGTGTTTTAGCACGTATTGAACTAAAACCTGTATAGTCCTGAATGTCCACACGGTCATTATCACACCATATTTCCACAAATGAAATTAGATCATATTTGTTAATAAAATTAATAAAGTCGGATTTCTGTAAATGCTTTCTCAAAAGGGATAATATTTACGTTGTTAGGACCTTCGCCACACCTTTATTCTTTAGCTTTACGTGTTTTTGAGAATGTTTTTACGAGCTTAGTTGTGTCGGCTTCATCGTCCCATGTATATATTTTGTTGTCAATAATCAGTTTATCAGATCTCAACACAGAGAAACTTCCATTTTCACGAGCTTCATCCATGATGTCTTTCAATTTGGCCCTAGATTCTCTCACTTTCTTCGTGAAGTCCTCTGCAACCCCAATCTTAGTTCCCTTAAGTTTTCCTGTTGATTTCAGCACTGAAGACTTCGACTTAAAGTCTTTAAACTTAACAAGAATGAGTCTTGCGCCTAGTGATTTACTCGGTAGTCTCTTCACACTGTCAATCCCGACGTCATCGTCTATTTTCATCGTCCTTTCAATGATGTATATCCTTTCAACAATGTATACTTATATATATATATATATATATATATATATATATATATATATATATATATATATATATATGAATGTGTATTTTCTTGCTCATGACAAGACTAGCATGTATTTACTTGAAAATATATGAACACTGACAACCATAGCCAGTGCATTTGCAACAAATGCTAAATGCTACCTACTGTATTAGTACGTTTGTGAATTGAAGTATACACCTGTGTTTGTAATATATTGTTTTATATGTGTTATAATGTAGAACTAATTGTTTCAGGGTTTACATTCATACCATCTGGAATAAACATATTGGCCATTGACGAACATAGTAACGTCTGTTGTCTGTGAGCGGCTGACGAAGTCCTACTACGTATGTTACGAAGCAGAACACCATACAAAACATATCTTCTGACGCTTTGGTGTAATGTAAATAATTTTATCCTTACTGGTGATGAACAACAGGTACATATAGGCTAAAGCAATATGCTTACCCCGCCCTGATCCGTGATGGGTAATTTGATAGCATGAAACTCCTTATGCAAACATGTTAGTTGAAAGAATAACCAAAAACTGATTGATAGTAGTAAATGAATAGGCCTCGCCTGATTGAACATCGGTAACTTCATTTTTCTTTTTCTTCACAGCACGGCCAAGGTTCTCCCAGAGTTGCCGACTTTCGTTCTTTATCGCTGTGTCACAGCCTGGAGTCGTAAAGCACAGCGGTGGGTAGTGACAGGCATAGTCCAGTCAGAATGTACAATTCATTGGTGCATTTAGTGTAACATAATCACCTTTCTCATAACATTTTGTTGCACCATTTGCTCGGACATCTACGTTTAAAAGGTGTTATGTCATAGACACATAAGGCAATGTGGTTAAGAGATCTAGATCTACATACATATACATATATCTGCACACTAGATTGAGACACAATTGCAGCACACAAAACCCATTCCATTTCCTTTTCGAAATCACTTTATATGACATTATTATCAAATATTGTAGTCTCAGAGTGCAAGAAGCTTTACATAGTATTTTATTTGTTGACCTAAACCTAAACGTTTCCTTAAGACAAATATATTCTTGTCTGTACATAGATTCAGTAGTAAGCAAAGTATTGTTTCCAAATTGGATTTGATTAATATTTTCAAATCTATTATTAAACATTTACTGTACAATCTTTGCATATGCATGAGATGTACACTATTGCCCCTTTCCAGTACATTGTACATAGTCTTTTATATCAGTACTTTATATACATGTCATTCTTCAATTGTAATTGTTTTTGTAACTGGAAAAAGAGGAACCTTCACGGAACCATTGAAATCCAAAAGAACAAGCCATTAACAGAGACCAGGTTACGGTATCTACTGTGCTTCAATCACATCATCAACCCCAAATGGACCTTATGGTCGCTTTGTAGTTGTTGCTGCTTCTGCTGTTGTTGTTGAAGTCAGCATCATATCTAATTATGACATGGTCAATTAAGGTTCAAGTATTAGTTGTTATCCTTGTAGATTCTTTAATTACACGATGTAAATTGTTCCTTTCCATAAACTCGGTAATATTGAATGTTTTACGACTCATGACACTGTCATTAAGATCCCAACAAGAAGAAAAAAAGGGAAAAGGAGAAAAAGGAGAGGAGAACGAATGAGAATGAGGAGCAGTAGAAGACAAAGAAGGAGGAGGTGAGGTGACATTGGGTTTAAGGTCGCGTCCAAGATTATTGCACTTATATAGCGACGTGCATGCACGCGTGTGTGTCCGCACTGATGCCGATTTATAGAGATATCCCACTGAGGTACCATGTCGCAGTTTAACGTGAATACCCCACTCAGACACAGTATACTCACTCCGAGCCGACAAGGCCTTATTTTAGCCACTAAATGCCGAGTAATGTCACGAAAAGTACCATCTTTTAACGTCTTTTGGTACGACGATGGCCAGGGATCGAACCTCGGAACGTCCGCACCCGGCGGACGCTCTACCACGAGACCACGAAGGCGTTCAAAAAAAGGAGACGGAGAAGAAGAAAGAGAAGGGGAGGAGGAGAAGAATGACAAGAAGGAAAAGAAGAAAAAGAAGAATGAGGAAGAGGAGAAAAAGAAGGGAGAGGGGAATAGGAGGAGGAGGAGAAGAAGAAGAACATGATTGCCTACAAACAGCTCTATATGGATGTAAGGAATGGACATCTGTGTCTACAAACAGCTCTATACGGATGTACGGTATGGACATATGTGTCTACAAACAGCTCTATAAGGATGTAAGGTATGGACATATGTGTCTACAAACAGCTCTATATGGATGTAAGGAATGGACATCTGTGTCTACAAACAGCTCTATACGGATGTACGGTATGGACATATGTGTCTACAAACAGCTCTATATGGATGTAAGGAATGGACATCTGTGTCTACAAACAGCTCTATACCGATGTAAGGTATGGACATATGTGTCTACAAACAGCTCTATAAGGATGTAAGGAATGGACATCTGTGTCTACAAACAGCTCTATAAGGATGTAAGGTATGGACATATGTGTCTACAAACAGCTCTATAAGGATGTAAGGTATGGACATCTTTGTCTACAAACAGCTCTATAAGGATGTAAGGTATGGACATATGTGTCTACAAACAGCTCTATAAGGATGTAAGGTATGGACATATGTGTCTACAATCAGCTCTATAAGGATGTAAGGTATGGACATATGTGTCTACAAACAGCTCTATATGGATGTAAGGTATGGACATCTGAGTCTACAAACAGCTCTATAAGGATGTAAGGTATGGACATCTACGTCTACAAACAGCTCTATAAGGATGTAAGGTATGGACATATGTGTCTACAAACAGCTCTATACCGATGTAAGGTATGGACATCTATGCCTACAAACAGCTCTATAAGGATGTAAGGTATGGACATATGTGTCTACAAACAGCTCTATAAGGATGTAAGGTATGGACATATGTGTCTACAAACAGCTCTATATGGATGTAAGGAATGGACATCTGTGTCTACAAACAGCTCTATACGGATGTACGGTATGGACATATGTGTCTACAAACAGCTCTATACGGATGTAAGGTATGGACATATGTGTCTACAAACAGCTCTATAAGGATTAGGGTCAGCGGGATAGATCTTGGTCATACCTACGCCCGTATTAAACTCCTTCTTCGAAACCTTTAAACATCATTATCCGTTGTTAGTATTAAACCCTTACTTATTTAGGTTGAGGGTAGGTTATAACCTAGGTAAAATTTGAAGCAGTGCTTACGGGCGGAAATCTTTCCCATGACGTCACAGGAGGGTTATTAGAAATATCAGTGTGTAGTATATACATGTTTGTTTAAGGTAAGCAATTCCTACAACACCATTGTGTCTTGCATGACCGTCGCTGAGAGGCAGGTAGAGGAAATGGCGAGTTCACTTCCCGCAATAATAACATCAGTAGTAAAGGATACGGAAATTAACACTGAAGCGGTAAGCTTCCTTTAACCAGCACACAATTCCTAGTGCAATTTGGAAAACCACGCAAGAGGAAAAACTCCCCAGAGAAACTCATTGATGGTGACCAACAAAACAACAATTCTGCACACAAGTTTATTGTTTACATGTGGACACAAAAATGTGACAATGTGCCAACGGTGGCTTACAGCACGGACATCAGAAGAATTTTACAAGAGGGCACTATCCACGAACAATGTATTACATTTTTGTAAATAACCTGATCCGAAAAGCACGTTCGACGACTTCAAGGCGCATGGCCAGGACGGTCTGTCGTAACAATCAAACTTGATACGTAATGTCCAGTGAAATATGATGAAACCAACACACAAATGTCCCTGTTGTAGGCTTGATCCACCCAGCCGCAATCTGAATGTACAGTCAGAAGTACTTTCACCAGGTTTCACGTGCCGATAGGTCTATACACTAATGTTCACTTCCAGCACAAAGGTCATCTTCGGTACAAAGGTCATTTCCGTGAACCTCTCCACAATGGCGACTCCCAGTGTTTACCATCTCCTCGGTCCAAACGCGGATGCTGGGTTATGGAAGGGTGAGGAAGAATTTAAATGCCAAAATATATGATTCAGGATGCATTTTGAAATTATTACCCACACATTAGTCAATTAATAGCTAATTTTTGTACAAGCCAATATGATGAGTGTGCTTCAAAAGGGTGTGTATGTGTGCGTGCGAGATTGTGTGTACCTCCTCCACTATAAAACCTTTCATAATGTCCCGCTATGATGTGAAGGGAGGGTGGAGATACCTACGAATATTCCGATTACCAAGTTTTAATTGGCCTTAAAAGAGGACTTATTAGAACGTGTCTGCATATGTCAAATCTGCACACCAGACAATTTCATTAAAGGCACATGTGTGACATGCATGCCTCTGTGAAAAAGGTAAATCCGTGCAAATATGTGTTTTCGTATATTTTGCAAGAGTCATTTCATGTTATTTAAATTTTTTTTATATCTTTTCGCCTTAAACCTCTGGAACGAGGTTTGTTATGCAATGTGCCAAAGGCAATACACATACGATTTAGTACATCTTAATGATGACAATTGCCATTAAGGCATTGATGACAATACATTGATTGCACGAAGCAAACGTATCTGCGAAAGACCCAGGGGACCCGAACATTACATCATATGGAGTCTTCTCCACGGTATAATTATAATCACTAAGAATAAGGTTCCCTCCCTTGTACAACAATATATTACGACCTTTGGGAGTATGTGATTCCACCCTATTACTGGGTAGGTTGAACTCGAAAGCATAATCTACTCGTCCAGCGTTCATATTCGCCTTCCAGCCGTTTTGGTAATTGTTCTTCGCTATTGCCTCCTTGCCGTGGGCTGGGCTCAGACCAGTGCCGTACACTCCTGAAACCAGACGGAGATAGTGAACAAGTGAACAAGATGCTAGGGGTCATCAGTCACCCGCAAGCAAGGACCAACAGATTGGAACAGACAGCAACTCCTGCTGCTGACGTCATGCTGGGACAGATAATAACTTCTGCTGCTGCTGTCGTGCTGGAAGAGATAGTACCTCAGTGACATCCTAACAAAGTGGATAGGATTCTGCTACTGCCGTGGCTACTGACATGCTGGAACATATAGTAACTCGGTCACACATATTTATTGAAAGGATTATTAATATTCACTTATATCAATTCTGCATCAGGCAATGTTGAACGATATCATACCCATGTTACCCTTCTGTTACCTTGCTGTGAATCATCAATACAACACACTACAATTTAGACGTTCAGGATTTAACAGGCGGAACCGATATCTGCACAAATACGTACCTGTTCCAAAGTGGGCATGTCTCGGATTCGTACTCTGTTTAATAAAACCACTTTGTTTTATGCCGTCAACACCAGCTTGGTTGGTGTAGTGATAGAAGACTGTTGCATATCCGGGAGCAGCTGAAAGTACAATCGTCTTTGAATAATCCATCAGGATGAATACGATTTTCCGTAGACTAGTATTATTGAAAACAGTTTTGATAATGTAGCCGTTGTATACTTATGATTTACTGAATAAGGCATATTAAATTATCAGCTGGACATATCAGTGACGTGATTGGAAACAAGTTAATGTCAAGCAACAAGAAAATTAGCAGATCAAAATAATCGAATGGTTTCCCTATCCATCAACCAGAGTGAGGCTTCCCGTTAGAACACCGATGCTAAACATATGGTGCCATTGATGTCAACAATTAGGATATCCCAGATATCTGATGTGGGGTATTGTGTTACATTACAGTTCAGAGAATCAGTTCATTACCATCCCGGTACCTAGCCGGACCACGCCTCTGGCAGACCAACTATCAATCAATGATGTCAAGTGTGAAGAGTAATTTTATCTTGCCGAATGGTAAAACGACAAATTTCAATTCACGTGTATGCCTGATTATCCAGCTTCGTACATTTCCATTTTCAAATGATAACTGCCATGGACACGCCGCCACTATACCTTTGTTTTAGCCGGATTCGAATGACATGTAATTTGGGGTGTGATGATATGTGAGATGGCGATTTGTGCGTTATTTCCGACACGAAGCCATGGTGCTGAATGGGAACATAGAATGGAGATATACTACGCTTACGCTGATTGTTCCTTTCTAATATCTGCTACACCTCCTTCGTGGTCTAGTGGTAGAGCGTCCGCCCGGAGAGTTCGATGGTGTGGTTTTAGGAGTGTGTGTGTTAGTTTTGGCGCCGCTTTTAACAACACTCCGTTAATCTCACGGTGTGTCAGCTTGATATATGAGGAAAACCTAGAGGTGGAGTTTGTGGATGTTTTAGAGAACAGTACTGTTTGGAGGAGAATGGTGCACTGACTGACTATCGACTATTTTAGCAAATAACAAGTATCAAGTGTGTGTGTGTGTGGGGGGGGGGGGGGGGGGGAGGCTATTTTTCAGCTGCAGCTTCAAAAACTGATATTTCTTACTGAAAACACTGAACCTGATTTTTTAATCGCCAAGACACCTTGCAACTAAGCAATTTATGTTGCAGGCAATTTTCTTTTTCAAAAGTAAAACATCCTATCCCTACCAAGGCCTTGCCTCTTTCAGATCTCCCGCCGCATCAAGAACAAAACCAACATAGATGTGACCTTTTCTGGCGGTAAGTCTATCGAGACCCATCTACAAGCCAGTGTAGAGACACAACCCCCGAGGATGTATATAACAGATCCCCAGCCATGAGCCATGACCAGGGATCCTATTTGCCCAGTGCTTGGGATTTATTGCTTTGATCTTTTGTCAGTGCTAATTATCTAACTGGCTTCCATGTGTCCATTGCTATTTCCATTCTATTACCTATTAATGCTAATTACTTCCCGGCCTCCCGTTTTCTCATTGTCTATTGCCCATAACCAATCAGTGATCATTTAAGTCCTGGCTTTCATTTGTCCATCATAATCATCTATCAGCGCTATTTACTCTTAAGTGTAGGTTTCCATGTGGCTAAGTTTCCCTTTTAGTTCCACCTTTGTTATCTCATTACTTTTGTTGTTCTTAAAGGTACATAATATATATTCACCTGACGAAGGAGTAAGTAAATACTCTGAAACGTTGTGTACCTTATAATAAAGAAGTTGACATTCATAAATTCTCTTCCTTATGTGTATCACTTCTAAATGCCTTTCAAAGACTTGAAAATAGATACATTGTAAATTTTTTTTGTTCCCATAACAAGTTGTTTTAAATGTCAAAATTTTAAATTCAAGCGCAAACCAGCGTTCTTCTCCATTAGAGATGTACAACACTGTGAAGGGAAAGAAAGTTTTAAGCTTGACTTTATTTTATCCAAAAATCGTTTTGACCTGAGTTGTAACTTTGTAAGAATCCATATTACAAGAATGTTGTTATCAATGTGAAGTTGAAAGTTGGTTCAATTCTTCTCACACCTGTGTAAACATCATATTGAGGATATTTGAATATTATTGGAGCAGTTAACGTCTTATTGATCATTCAGACACTCACCAGATATCAGTATAAACGCTATCTGGAGTCCGACCAGCTGCTTCTTGAAGTTCATTCTGTTTCTGGAGAAGGACAATTTACAAAACATACACACTATGTCATGTATTATACAAAAGTGGTATATAAAGTACCACTAACTAAGGGGAGTGATTTAGGAATGACTTTGACAATGTCGCGGCCTGTTTAGATGGCGTTTAACGAAGGACGAGATGCTTTTTCAATTTAGTAACCAAGTCGAGCAGGACGAACGGGTTTCCAAGGTCAATCTTAAAAGAACCTCCAATGGAACCCTGATAAAGTGAATCGTAAGAAATGCTCAAATAAAGTTATTTTTCTAATTTAATAATTTTCACAGTTAGAACATCTTCGGAAATGCTTTCCACATTTATATTCTTAAAATAAATGCAAAAGTTGTAGTAAATATTTTCAAAAGTAAATTTCGTGGATAAAGCATGCCATATTACTGGATAATAAAACTGGAAATTACATTAAAACAGATTAAACTTTTGACGGCATACGAATGACCCAATGTAATGTACATGGACCTAATACAGATTACCCTGCATTTTACAACACACTATCGAACAATATTATAGACTTTGACAATGAAGCTATCGTATTTTGCGGGTACTGGAATTTGGTTCTTAAACCTTAATCGACCTTGACAGTTATCAAAATTGAAACAATTCTAAAGACCGAAATGTATTTTTGGAGACTATGGAAAATGTTGATCTCCTTGATATCTTGATGGAACTATAAAATAAAAAGAGAAAGGACCTAAGACAACAAGCGAAGCTTGAATTTTATCTGGTATCGAAAGAATGTATAAATCTTTCTTTGCATTGTAATATTCTACCAGGTTAAAAATCTGACCACTCTGTGATTACTTTGGAATTTCTAATGTCTTCAGTAAAACTAAGGGTAAATGATATTGGTAATTCAACACATCCTTATTGTACAAAGAGGAATACATACAATTAGTTGGAGACTTATTATAGACTCAACATTTGAATATGCGCAGGATAAAAAGGACATTGAAGTAATAGATGATTTATTGGAATAACGATAAGTGATTCTCTATTTCTTTACACTTTTCTTGTGAAAGTTAGAGGCAAATCAATTTCTTTGGGTTCATACTATAAAAGAAAACCGAGTGAAGAAAATGAATTTCTTTAAAAAAAAGTAAGTGAATTAGAAAATTTCATTAGAGAAGATGTCCAAAACATAAATGAATCAACATTGGCAGATTTAAGTAAATATAAATCCGAACTGAATAAATTCAGAGAAGAACATGTGAGAGGAATTCACGAAGTATGAATGATATGAGGAAGGTGAAACACCAACTAGCTATTAGGAATTATACTAATAAAAACGTACAAACAATTTAGTAAATCATAGTGGTGATATAATTACTGATGAAAATCAGATCATGGAAGATCAAAAGATATTTTATGAAAAATTGTATTCTATTTCAGAAAACATAGATGGTGATCACCGAAACTTTTTAGACAAAATAACTCCCACCTTAGACCAAGCCCTCTACACACACTAAGAAAAACCAATGAAAATGAATGAAATTTCAAAAGATGGTAAAATAAAAGTCCACGAATTGACAGTTTTCCCATTTAACTTTTCAAATGGCAACAAATTATCAATATTGACATTTCTGGCGAGGAAATATTTTTACAATACAGAAATGTATAAAATATATTTAGATGTTAGACTTTCAATATAGATTTATATATATATAATTATTTATACCAGAATTGTTTATGATGAATATTAATCATGATAACAATTGTTCCTTTTGTGAGAAGGAACCAGAATCTTTGATGCATGTTTATATGGAATGCCACTATGTAGATTCAGTTTGGACACAACTAGAGAACTATCTTCATAGTTTACCTTTTGAAATTCAATTTGATGAAAACCAGGTATTATTGGCCTATTGGCCATCAATGACAAAAAATACTTAATCATGTTATTATGATAAATAAGATATATCTATACTTCTAAAATTAAGAAGGAAAAACAAACACTAATGTCTAATCAATATTTTGAAGAATTTTTTTTTTATCTTTTTGAAAAATTCTTGGCCAAAAGAGAAACACAATGAAATCTTTTCTTTACAAATGGTCTGATCTATGTGACCTCCTTTGCTAAATCGTATTGGGTTTCAAGAAATATCTTATACGTGGTGACAAATAAGATTTAGTATTACTGCTTCTGTCCACACGGCATATCCTTTGTTTTCTTAAACAATGATATGTAATTTTATATAATGAAATACACCCTTAAATAATAACATGATGTGACAGCGACAAGGAAATATTGGTTTGCTTTCCTAATGGGTAATTTAGGCGAAAGAAAATAATGCGCGAAAGACTATTTGAGTAATTTTGTATCTTTTTAGGTACATTATTGAATTTCTATATTCTTAGAATATCCCCCGCTCCTCTGCTTTTCTTTCGACTAAAGATTCTACAGAAGCAAAACAAACAAGTGTCTGAAAGGAAAATTATACTCACAACAAAAATGAACGTCTTCACGACTCGAGCAGTGATGACAAGATGAAATGGAGATGTGTCCGGGTAGGGTCATGATCACGTGATGGTGATTGTCCGCAAGTGTGAACAATGCCCTCATAGTTAACGTCCTGTTTGTGATCATGTTTACGTTGCAAATTTCTGAAACAGTGGTATATGAATACATACGATTCTTGGGGAGTAAACGGTCGAGTATGGACCAGACAGTCCATCGAACCACGCAGTTTGGACACGATGACATGGTGGTGGGGGGCCTTTTGGGCCCCGAAGTGAAGCAGTGATGCAGACGAGACGTTTACCTCTGTGTAGAATGTGGTATTCGAACCCACGATTATATCATCAAAACATCGATATACGAAAGCAAAAAAAGTGAAACACAGAACTAGACTCTGTGGTTTGAATAATTTCATGCATAAAATCACTGTCACCAGCTGACTGAACTGACTTTGATAATTTAACATGGATTAGTTAGGCAGCATGGCCAATCGGGTGAAACTTAAAAAATTGAAGCTGAACTGAACGTATGAGAGAAAACGAATTACATATAATTCTTTTAATTATGAGACTCGTGACGATCCGGATTAGAATAGGTCTTCAGGTAATGCTTGTCGTAAAAGGCGACTAACGGGATCGGGTGGTCAGAATCGCTGAATTGGTTGACGCTTGTCGTCGTATCCCAATTGTGTGGAACGATGCTGATGATGTCAATCACTGGATTGTCTGGTCCAGATACGATTATTTACAGACCGCCATCATAGAGCTGGAATATAGTTGTAGTGTGGAGTTAAACAACAAACAAACAATTTTTTTTTTTGCAACAATTACCATAGTTTTCAACATCGATTTGCATATTTGCTGCTTGTTGGTGTCAGAGATGGTGAACAATGCGTTAGTAGGACTTTGGACAGGGAGAGGATGTCCTGTTAGAAACTGCAGATCACGCACGTGGTTCAGCGGAAGTATGTACTCAGAGGATGGCGCAATCACTAATACTGCATTATATGTCCTCTTGAATATACAGGATCCTGTTAATACATGTGTGAGGAAATGTTAGGAGATACGTGTATGATGAAGTGTAGAGAGATACGTGTATGATGAAGTGTAGAGAGATACGTGTATGATGAAGTGTAGAGACATACATGCATGATGAAGTGAAGGTAGATTATATGCATGATGAAGTGTTTGGAGATACAAGTATGATGAAGAGTTCGGAGATACATGCATGATGAAGTGTAGGGAGATACATGTATGATGAAGGGTAGGGAGATACATATATGATAGAGTGTAGGGAGATACATGCATGATGAAGTGTAGGGAGATACATGCATGATGAAGTGAAGGGAGATACATGCATGATGAAGTGTAGTGAGATACATGTATGATGAAGTGTAGAGAGATATATATATGATGAAGTGTGGGGAGATACATGCATGATGAAGTGTAGGGAGATACATGCATGGTGAAGTGAAAGGAGATACATGCATGATGAAGTGAAGGGAGATACATGCATGATGAAGTGTAGGGAGATACATGTATGATGAAGTGTAGAGAGATACATGCATGATGAAGTGTAGGGTGATACATGCATGATGAAGTGTAGGGGGATACATATATAATGAAGTGTAGGGAGATACATATATGATGAAGTGTAGGGAGATACATGCATGGTGAAGTGAAGGGAGATACATGCATGATGAAGTGTAGGGAGATATATATATGATGAAGTGTAGGGTCATACATGCATGATGAAGTGTAGAGACATACATGCATGATGAAGTGTAGGGAGATTCATGCATGATGAAGTGTAGGGAGATACATGCATGATGAAGTGTAGGGAGATACATGTATGATGAAGTGTAGGGAGATACATGCATGATGAAGTTTAGGGAGATACGTACATGGTGAAGTGTAGGAAATTACACGCATGATGAAGTGTAGAGACATACATGCATGATGAAGTGTAGGGAGATACATATATGATGAAGTGTAGGGAGATACATATATGATGAAGTGTAGGGAGATACATGCATGATGAAGTGTAGGGAGATACATGCATGATGAAGTGTAGGGAGATACATATATGATGAAGTGTAGGGAGATACATGTATGATGAAGTGTAGGGAGATATATATATGATGAAGTGTAGGGAGATTCATGCATGATGAAGTGTAGGGAGATACATGCATGATGAAGTGTAGGGAGATATATATATGATGAAGTGTAGGGAGATACATGTATGATGAAGTGTAGGGAGATATATATATATGATGAAGTGTAGGGAGATTCATGTATGATGAAGTGTAGGGAGATACATGCATGATGAAGTATAGGGAGATATATATATATATGATGAAGTGTAGGGAGATACATGTATGATCAAGTGTAGGGAGATATATATATATGATGAAGTGTAGGGAGATACATGTATGATGAAGTGTAGGGAGATACATGCATGATGAAGTATAGGGAGATACATGCATGATGAAGTGTAGAGACATACATGCATAATGAAGTGTAGAGACATACATGCATGATGAAGTTTAGGGAGATACATGCATGATGAAGTGTAGGAAATTACACGCATGATGAAGTGTAGGGAGATTACGTGCATGATGAAGTGTAGAGACATACATGCATAATGAAGTGTAGGGAGATACATGCATGGTGTAGTGTAGGAAATTACACGCATGATGAAGTGTAGGGAGATTACATGCATGATGAAGTGTAGAGAGATACATGCATAATCAAGTGTAGGGAGATACATGTATGATGAAGTGTAGAGCAGACATGCATGATGAAGTTTAGGGAGATACATGCATGGTGTAGTGTAGGAAATTACACGCATGATGAAGTGTAGGGAGATTACATGCATGATGAAGTGTAGAGAGATACATGCATAATGAAGTGTAGGGAGATACATGTATGATGAAGTGTAGAGACATACCTACATGATGAAGTGTAGAGACATACATGCATGATGAAGTGTAGAGACATACATGCATGATGAAGTGTAGGGACATACATGCATGATGAAGTGTAGGGAGATACATGCATGGTGAAGTGTAGGGACATACATGCCTGATGAAGTGTAGAGACATACATGCATGATGAAGTGTAGAGACATACATGCATGATGAAGTGTAGGGAGATATATGCATGATGAAGTGTAGAGAGATACATGCATGATGAAGTGTAGAGACATACATGCATGATGAAGTGTAGGGAGATATATATATGATGAAGTGTAGGGAGATACATGCATGATGAAGTGTAGAGACAGACTTGCATGATGAAGTTGAGGGAGATACATGCATGGTGTAGTATAGGAAATTACACGCATGATGAAGTGTAGGGAGATTACATGCATGATGAAGTGTAGAGAGATACATGCATAATCAAGTGTAGGGAGATACATGTATGATGAAGTGTAGAGACATACAAGCATGGTGAAGTGTAGAGACATACATGCATGATGAAGTGTAGAGATATACATGCATGATGAAGTGTAGAGACATACATGTATGATGAAGTGTAGGGAGATAGATATATATATGATGAAGTGTAGGGAGATACATTTATGATGAAGTGTAGAGACATACATGCATGATGAAGTGTAGGGAGATATATATATGATAAAGTGTAGGGACATACATGCATGATGATGTGTAGAGACATACATGCATGATGAAATGTAGAGACATACATGCATGATGAAGTGTAGCGAGATACATGCATGGTGAAGTGTAGGGACATACATGCATGATGAAGTGTAGAGACATACATGCATGATGAAGTGTAGAGACATACATGCATGATGAAGTGTAGGGAGATATATATATGATGAAGTGTAGAGAGATACATGCATGATGAAGTGTAGAGACATACATGCATGATGAAGTGTAGGGAGATATATATATGATGAAGTGTAGGGTCATACATGCATGATGAAGTGTAGAGACATACATGCATGATGAAGTGTAGAGGCATACATGCATGATGAAGTGTAGGAAGATATATATATGATGAAGTGTAGAGAGATACATGCATGGTGAAGTGTAGAGACATACATGCATGGTGAAGTGTAGAGATATACATGCATGATGAAGTGTAGAGACATACATGTATGATGAAGTGTAGGGAGATAGATATATATATGATGAAGTGTAGGGAGATACATTTATGATGAAGTGTAGAGACATACATGCATGATGAAGTGTAGGGAGATATATATATGATGAAGTGTAGGGACATACATGCATGATGATGTGTAGAGACATACATGCATGATGAAACGTACAGACATACATGCATGATGAGGTGTAGCGAGATACATGCATGGTGAAGTGTAGGGACATACATGCCTGATGAAGTGTAGAGACATACATGCATGATGAAGTGTAGAGACATACATGCAAGATGAAGTGTAAGGAGATATATATATGATGAAGTGTAGAGAGATACATGCATGATGAAGTGTAGAGACATACATGCATGATGAAGTGTAGGGAGATATATATATGATGAAGTGTAGGGTCATACATGCATGATGAAGTGTAGAGACATACATGCATGATGAAGTGTAGAGGCATACATGAATGATGAAGTGTAGGGAGATACATGCATGATGAAGTGTAGGGAGATACATGCATGGTGAAGTGTAGGGACATACATGCATGATGAAGTGTAGAGACATACATGCATGATGAAGTGTAGAGACATACATGCATGATGAAGTGTAGGAAGATATATATATGATGAAGTGTAGAGAGATACATGCATGGTGAAGTATAGAGACATACATGCATGATGAAGTGTAGGGAGATACATGCATGGTGAAGTGAAAGGAGATACATGCATGATGAAGTGAAGGGAGATACATGCATGATGAAGTGTAGGGAGATATATATATGATGAAGTGTAGGGTCATACATGCATGATGAAGTGTAGAGACATACATGCATGATATAGTGTAGAGGCATACATGAATGATGAAGTGTAGGGACATACATGTACATGCATGATGAAGTGTAGGGAGATACATGCATGGTGAAGTGTAGGGAGATACATGTATGATGAAGTGTAGAGACATACCTACATGATGAAGTGTAGAGACATACATGCATGATGAAGTGTAG